ATATGCTCCAGAAAATAGCCTTTTGAACATCTTCGTTTTGGTGTTACGTAAAAATTCAATGTCAGCATAACTTTATAAAAAGTTACTCTTCCAGTGTCAAAATGTATTCAGAATCATGCACGCAATGAAAACCAATTTGGTGCAATTTAGGATGGACAAAATGTCTTATGTTTTAAGAAAATGTTGTCAACCCCAATAAATTATTCAAGCACTCCCTGGTCAGTCAGACACATGTACTTCTCTCTCCCCACAAAATTGATTTAAGATCAGACTGGCTGTGCAACAGTTACATCCTTCAAAGGCAATTCAATACAGAATCACATGGCAGAAACCTGCAGCTGCACTGCTTCAGAAGTGAAAGACGTAAACAAATCAATCATCGGTTAAAAAGCACTAATACAACAACTAAAAGGCAATACTCAATAACAAAGAAAGCCGTGCATTTGAAATGTACTTCATCAAAAGCAAACTAGTAGTAGTGATACAATACATAAATGACAACATTTTAAAGTATTTGATATAAGGAGTGACTTCTGGAAGGTTGAATACTAAATACATATTTGGCCACTAGGGGGACCATAAAAATGTCCATAACAAGCTGACAGATTATCGCCCTATTAAATTGTTATGGCTAATGTGTCAAGAAACATTTGCTTTTCACACACACACACAAGATGCAGAGCAACATTTGACATTCATTTGAACCCATATTTTGTCCGTACTTTGCACAGCAGCTTCACAGCAGCATTCCTGTGATATCACAAGATTACGCAAGAATTGCGGAATCACAAGATCTCACAAACATCCATCTTGTCAAGCTTCAAGTAATGTGTTGAAGAGAGCTAACAGACTACATCTGCACGCATGGGTCAAACAAACACAGTACTTTTAAGCATGAGGCAGGTGATCGTGTCCCAAAGTGTTGTTGAGTTATTTAGAAGTTACTTTTGTTATGTTTCTAACGTGTTTTCCAGTACTTACATTACATTCTTTACTTTTTATTTAGTTTAGGTACTCAGGTACTTATTTTAAGCCAAACTAAAATGTTTTCCCTAAACCTCTCTAAGTGGTTTTGATGCAAAGACCAAACCGGCTGTTTCAAGCTAACGATGTGGCGTGAAATGCCCAAAATGCGTCGTGGAAAGCCTAAAACGCCTTACCATGAGAAGTGGAATCTCCTAAAACATTGTGCTATTTATACGCCTTCCCAGGAAATCAGGCTGCTGCACGACATTGCTGATTTAAGAAAGAAAATAGAGAACACCCATAATAGATTTGTGTGCATGTGCGTGCGGTTTTGACCTACTGTATAGAGTACTAAGTGGACTGTGCTGTATGTCCTTGAGGGAGGACTGACCCACTAGCACAGTGAACACTTGATCCCACAGAGTCAGCAGCACAGAGCAGCAATGGGAACCAACAGCAACTGTAATCTTCTAGCTCAGTTTATTAAAAATAAACCCTACTAGCCATCTCTTCTGTCTCTAACATTAGAAATGGTGGACAGATGTCTATTCACGTCTTTTGGTCAACACTAAATAGCGTTCAATAGCATTGCCAAATGATTAATTTATCACACATTACCATGCTTAACACCAGTATAGTCACTGGTGAAATCAGCCTATAGTCGTAGGTTGAACTGACTACAAATGAATGAAGCATTACCTCAATATTATATTCAGTAAGTCATATGAATGTCGTGGTTTACTCTGAAATGTCATAATATAGAAAATGCTGGACAGGGTTGTTCTTCAGCTCCACCGTGTCCATTATTGTCTTTTAAATAGGTGACCTCATCATGTGTCATAGCGTTCCTATTCGTGGTAGTAGGCATTGAGCTGATGTCAGTTAACTAGTATTTTAAGTGTAAAATTGTGTAGCAGATTTGTATTTTAATACTAGCTTGCTTTGATTTATTGTGTTACAAATATTTTAGGTATGTGGTACATAACATGTTTTTACATTTTTTACAGAAAATGACTTTCGAGTACAGTAAAACATCTTTATCTTCCTTTTACATTCACCAAAATATTTCCTCATTTAGATTTTTGGACAAGTCAATTGATTTTTTTTAAAGCAATTATTGTGCAAAACCAAACTGGGCAGCAGAGGAGTAAAAGAAACAAAGAGGTTAATGGACTGATGTTGAAAAGTGTGTCTATCCTTTTTACCTCTTTAATAGAAAACAGCAACCCATTGCAACATGCTAAATAAACATTAGAGGTGAGACTGAAAACAATATAGGTCTGGGTCACACTGTGGTTTTTACATACTCCCCCAAGAATGAGAGCTGAAAGTTGAATGTTTCTCAGAAACAACTCTCCGACAAGAGCCCCCCTTGTTCCTCTTCTTCCCCCTAACTCATTATTTTTCTCCGGCACTGGTTGCAGCTGTCTAAGGTGAATCACTGCTGATAACTCAACTGATCGGGGGTATCAGTGACCCGTCTCTGTTCTGCTTATGTAGTACGTTCTGAAGGCGTGAGGTCATGATGTTATCGTACTAAGTACCTCTATGTGTGAGTTAGTGCAGTTGTTGGTCAGATGTTGCATTATGCTGTAGCACCACCTTGTGTCTTATGTAAGGGAGTGTACACTCAAAGTAAGTCCCTGAGAACTGACACAGTATTTCTAGGAACTGATTGGAAAACCTGGCAAATTTTCAACTTTGTTTTCATACACTTGTTTTGTGTAAACCCAGCTTATTACGTTGAGTTTTAACATCCTCATGTTAGTAAGAAAGTGTAAGAATGTTTAGCATGCTGTGTTGACAGCATGCTAATTCTAAAAAAGGAATGTAGCAAAGGCCAACATAGCCTGATTTCTAATTCAAAGTATGGAAAAAGCTTGAAAAATGCTGGATCCCACACTGACGATAATGCCTCGCAGTAGCATATTTGTTTAGCTCCTCCCTGACTAGTAAATACTTAATTGGACTTAAGTGAGATACTCAAGTGATGTCACTTGAGTTACTTTATCATACTAGACTTTAGTACCTAGGAGTTGAATGCACTTAATTCCCACAGAAGAAAGTACACAACTGCCTTGAGTGGCTAGAACTCCCTGTGATTATGATATTTACATGTGCCTCTTCAACCTCCTGATGTTAACTTCGTAGCGTGTTAGGTCTTCTGCTATATAACATTATTCTCTAAGGCTGAAGGGAATTCAGGCATTACCTTTAGTGGTATTCTGTCATGAAAGTCTAGTGAAGTTGTTTAACCTGTTGGATGCTGAATGAAAAATTAGGAAATCCCGAAACTCAGTAGGATCCTCTAGGGGAAAATTATTGTCTGTGACATCAAACCATCCAAAAATTGACGAGATAAGTGTTAAGCAGCAACAGTTTTCAATATATAGACCTGATACAGAGAGCCAGGATTGACTGTTTCTACAAATCACTCTCAATATCGATGAGGTTTAATAACTGGAGAGAAAGGACCTTGTGCGAGTATAGGAGGCTGTTTGTCAGCTGAGGACAATCTGCTTTCTGGAGATGCCTACTTTCATTATGACTATTCAAACTAACTTTGTTCAAGTTCAAATTGAAGAAGTCCTGACGTGCAGAACAAAGACACGGTGTGGCTGCTCTTGGCGAGATTGGGTCTTATCAGAAGTCAGAAAATAAGAATGAGTCAACCAGAATAAAAATTATGCAAAGAGATTTTTACACAAGAGTCACACAGAGTTGCTGCTTTTATTTACAAGTATATCTTTTTGTGGCAGGTGTAGAATATTAGAATATAATTCTCAAGCAGATTTACATTACTGTTAAATGTGAGCTTTAAAGGGTAAGAGAGCTGAGATCAAACCTTAAATCAAAAATGAGAAATAACCTTTGAAAGTGTAACAACAAAATGTAAAGCCTGAATTTTGCCTGATGCGTGTTCAGTGTCAACAATCCACTTTCAGTTTCTAATTGATTGTCCACAACATGTGTATTATGCAATGCATGTGATTTAAAATGCTGCAAAAGTGTTCCACAACAGTTAAATGGAGTAAAAGTATCACTAGCCTACAAACTTAAAAATACTTGCAAAAAGAGTGACTATACTGGACTTACAATGCGTAGAAATAGTTTGACCTTTTGGGACACAGGCTTACAGTTATTTGCTTTCTTTTTGAGAATTAGATGAGAAGATTGATACTATTTTGTTTGTGAAATACGAAGCTACTGCCAGTTAGCTTAGCTTAGCAAAGACTGGAAACATGGAGAAACAGCTAGTCTGGCTCGTCTAAAGGTAACAAAACTAATCTTTCAGCACCTCTGAAGCTCACTATAACATGTTATATTTTGTTCATTTAATCAGTAAAAAAAAAACAGAAGCAAAAACGTCACAATGTAGTTTTATGGGGAGTTATGTACCGTGTGTTGTCACTTCCTGGAGTCTTGTTGTTACCATGGGGTTGACGGACATAGTGGTTGCGCTATGCTAAGCTAATTGTCTGATTGTGGTAGTGCATTTTCTAAAAGATAAATTCAGAAACTGTAAATATATATGGATTTTTTTCCTATCTGAACAGTCAAAAAATCAACTTCAATAACTTCGACTTACTTCTATTTAAAAAAAAGATTGTCACCGGACAAAAGTCCATGTTGTTGAAACTCCACAAAGCTCTGCCAGAAACTTTTCCCAGAAATGACTCAACATGACTCTAACCTGAGTAGTAGTTGTGTGCATGTTTGTTTTTGTGTAATATGCTGATTTATCAGGTCCAGAACAAGATTTAGAAGGAACTCAAAATGTCCCGAACAAGAGAAAAGTAAACAAAGGTGTCACATTAGAAAACATCTGAAGCAGTTTTGCTGTGATGTTGCAGTGAACAGTTTATTCAACTGTTTATATCCTCATTGATTTTCTACTGTTTATCTTCTTCTTCAGAGCACAGACAAAGTTTATCCAAACTCAACAGTTTCTCAACTGCTGATGGGAAATAATGATAACGATAATGTGTGTTTGTGTTCATACATGCGTGCAGAAACACAGGGGTGCAGTACAGTGACGGTCTCCATTGACTGCGGATCAGGATCAGTTAAGAGGATGAGTAGGACTCTGCTGTGGCTGGTGGCCTCTGTGGCCTTGGCCTCCCTGACTTCTCTGGCTGATGGAGCTCCATTGTAAGTAGACCTAACTTTCCTTTAAACACTGCCCCAGGGTTTGAATTCATTCACCCAAAACAGAGCTAAAATATGCAGTTTGTTCATCTGTTTATCTTCCTGATATTCACATTATTATTGGTTGAACTGTAATGGGAGCAAGAACGATACACAGTGACTACAGAATATAATTATTACTCCGTATATTCCTCTCTCACCGCTGCTCTGCAGGAAGGTGTTGTCTGCTTCCAACTTGTTGCGTGTAGGTACAGCCGAAAATATCTTTGTGGAGTGTCAAGACTGCACTGGAGCAGACATCAATGTTGAAATCAGCGTGATGAACCATCCAACCAAAAACCAAAGGCTGGCAACTACATCTGTGACACTTAGTGATGCAAATAACTTCCAGCAGCTTGGACAAATAACGGTAATTTAAATACCGTCACTATATATGTAATTAAGTTATTATATTGGCTTCATTTTCTAACATGGCCACAAATAATCTATAAATGAATCCAGAAATGCACATGATGTAGACCACCCTACCCCTGCTACTGATGCACTACTGGTGTCTCTTCATACTGGTTTCAGATCCCTGCTGGAAACTTCAGTAAGGATGCCAGCATGAAGCAGTTCGTGTACCTGCAAGCTCAGTTTCCTGACCGACTGCTGGAGAAAGTGGTCTTAGTGTCCTTTCAGTCCGGGTACATCTTCATACAGACTGATAAGACCCTCTACACCCCCAACAGCAGAGGTGGGTTCAAATCTGCATCAGTGCTCAAAACACACCTACTTCTGTGAGAATATCTTTAAGTGTCATTATTGACGTGTCATTCAAATTGAATGATTTTATTAAATTACAGTGACGTGAAAGAACCCTTTTTTTCAAAACGTTTTTAAACTGTCACATGACCGAAAAGAGATACACCGTTCAGCAAAATGAACCTCTTTCTCTCTCTGTCAGTTCTTTACAGGATGTTTGCAGTGACGCCTCGTATGAAGCCAGTAGAGAGGGATGATGCAACCCAAACTGATGCTGCTATTTCCATCGAGATTGTGGTATTGTGATTTATCTATGATAAGTACAGAATTGAAAGTGATATCATATAATAAGCCCTATCTGGGAGTACAAATACATGTATATCTCCCTCTAGTGGTGGATTTGCGCATTAAAGACAGCCTTTTTCCTTCAGTTGAAGACAAACACATTTTAGAAATAGCTGAAAAAAGTGTCAATATCATACAGTCTATGGTCAATATAGACGTTGAAGAGGATGGCGGATTGTAGACAAAAGACATACTTAAAATATTTCATGGATTTACTGAATTAATTTGTAACTTACCACGGCTCTCTGTTAATGGTTATTGAAAATTGTTAATTTTTAGACCCCTGAAGGCACCATTTTACCAATTCATTCAGTCCCTTTGAGATCAGGGATCCACTCTGGAGATTACCAACTTGCTGAAATTGTCAGGTTAGTAGTGTATCTTGTTTAAATTACATTTTCCATTTTTATACATTTTGTTGTTAAGTGGTGTATTTACAATCTGGATACATATGGATAGCAGGTAAATTCATCTCAAAACATTAAAACGTCAAATCATTTAGGATTATGCAAAGTAGCCTATATTTTAACATGTTTATGTTGCACTTTTTACAATTAATTTCCATGTTGCTAATTTAGTGTTTGGACAGCAACTAAATAGAAGTATGTAAGTCATACAGTGTATAAAGTGTGGAGACACACTGAATACCGAGACTTTTCATTTGAGCCAATTATGATCTTCCGATGAATTAAAGAATACTAGTTCAGCACAACTGGATGTAGGAAAAGAGACATGAACTGGAGAAAAGAGTTGTGTTAATGTAACTCCATTTGCTAATGTTATAAGAGCCTGGCTGTGATAGTAATATATCTTCAACGTGTTGTTGGGAAGATTTTCACATAGCTCATCTTCACTAAAGCAAGATCTAGATACTTTTGACCTAACCTGTATCTGTGCTATATAATTGAAAAATATGAATTTGATAAACCAACATTTTGGTATATAAAATGCATTACATGACATAATTAAATGAGACAGCAGGCAAACAGCTAAGATAAACTAGACCTGCTAAAAGGTCAACTAGCTTAGCTAGCAGAGTAGCAGCAGCTGCCATCTTTGCTTTTGAGTGGAAAATCTAGTGTTACTCTGGAAATCAGTGTGTAGTAAATTTGAGCAAGAGTTTGACATTTTGGGAAATAGCTCATGTGCTTTTAGGCAGAGGGTTACTTAGATGGGAAGAGTGTTACCACTGTTAGACACGAGAGTGGTGATGATCTTATTTAACTCTCCAATGAAATGTTAAACTCTTCCTTTAAACTGAAGATCAATTTTTCTTTTAAGATCCAAATATTGATTGTTAAGGGACAGAAATACATTTAATCCGTAACTAAAACTAATCGGCCTAAGAAAGCACAAGTACTACACCCTTTCTATCTCGTGCAAAGGCAACCTGAAAACTAAAAAACCTTTTCTTGCAGCTCTGTTGTGTAGGCCTACATCTCAATTTGTGTAAGATGTAAATATGTATATATAACTTCACGCAATCTAAAGTCTGTTCCTGTTTCAGTCTCTAAATTATCAATTTAATTGTGTGTGTGTGTGTGCGTGTGTAGTCCAGGACTGTGGAAGGTGGTGACAAAGTTCCACAGCAACCCACAGCAGAGCTATTCTGCAGAGTTCGAGGTCAAAGAATACGGTGAGTCCTTCATTACCTGCACAAACCTACAACATTCACACTTATCTTTTACCTGATTGGACACAAAATAAAATGTTTTCCATTTTGCAGTGCTGCCCAGTTTTGAGGTTAAACTGACATCTATGAGTTCCTTCTTCTACGTGGACAGTGAAGAGCTCACCGTCGACATCAAAGCTGTGTATGTGAAGGTTTTTGTTTTGTGGATTGAGATATCAGGTTTGATTGGTAGATTGATTGCAGGAGGAAAACTAAAGGGTTTTGTCCAGAGGTTGTGTTTGGGGCTTTAGCTTTTTTTTTTTTTGTCTGGTTTGTGTTCGTTTGTTTTAGATTTCTCTGTTTTGCTTCATTGTGTGCTTTAACATGTCCCTGTCTTGTGAGTTCAGATATCTGTTTGGTCAAGAGGTGGATGGGACCGCCTATGCGGTATTTGGGGTTATGCAAGACGGTCAAAAGAAAAGCTTCCCAAGTTCTCTTCAGAGAGTACAGGTGAGCACATTCTTACACTTTAGCTGTATTTTATTTATGTTTTGCAAGACTCTAAAACATGAAAAATGTCTATAATTTCCTTTTATTCATACATCTGCAGTTATTTTAGCTAAATTGTTACATTTCCATCTTCATATATTATTTATTTAGGATGTTCAGACATAAACAGGCTTTCCACTGACTTTACCACTGTACTGTATTTGAAGATGCATTTTTAAATGATGTCACATTAGGTTGAGAAAGGTAATGGAGTGGTCACACTGAAGAAAGAGCACATCACATGGACTTTCCCAAACATTGCTGAACTGGTGGGGACTTCCATATTTCTGGCCGTCAGCGTGATGACGGAGAGCGGTAAGAAAGAGAGACTGTGTGTGTGTGTGTGTGTGTGTGTGTGCCTTTTCAGTGTGTTTGATCAAAGTAACCAACTAACTACCACCAGTATTAGAGTCTGAAAATCTCCAAACAATGAGAGGAGAATAGAAAATAAAGATATCAAGATAACATTTTTGTATCCGTTAATCAAGATGAAAATCAGGAGATGTCAAATAAATAAAATAAAATACTCTTGTGATCAGTGTTTGTGTGAATGTGTTTGGTTTCTGTATCAACACACAGGTAGTGAAATGGTGGAGGCAGAGTTGAGAAGCATCCTGATTGTCAAATCACCTTACACCATCCACTTCAAGAAAACACCCAAATATTTCAAACCAGGAATGCCCTTCGATGTTGTGGTAAAGTACTTATTTACATTTACATGAATTGACAGCCTATGTATGGCTTATGGCTTGGCACTTGTTTTACACATTTTTTTCTCGGACAGAGATGGTGATTTAATAATAATAATAATATATTTTATTTGTATAGCGCTTTAAAAGGCACTCAAAGACACTTTACATGGTAGAAACAGAAACAATAAAAGCATTTATAATAAGAACAAATATAGATAACAGTAAGGAACAACACGAAAAAAAAAAAAAAGAAAAAATAAACGTAGATAACTGACTTTACAGGTTAAATCAGATTTAAATAGGTGAGTTTTAATTGCAGTTTTGAAAGTGGCGATTGACGGACAATGTCTGAGGTGTTGGGGGGAGGGAGTTCCAGAGGGAGGGGGCAGCAACGGAGAAGGCCCTGTACTCCCAGGTCCAATGCTTGGACAGAGTAGGGGGGGTAAGGAGGTTGGCGTTGGCGGATCTGAGGTTGCGGTTGCGAGCGTAATCAATGCAGGAGGTCAGAAAGGTATGAAGGGCCGAGGTTATGAAGGGCTTTGTAAGTGATGAGGAGAATCTTGAACTGGATTCTTTGCTGTATGGGGAGCCAGTGGAGGTTTTGAAGGACTGGGGTGATGTGATCTCTGGTGTGGGAGTGGGAGAGCAGACGGGCAGCTGAGTTCTGGATGTATTGTAGTTTGTTGATGATTTTGGTGGATGAGCCGTACAGGATGCTGTTGCAGTAGTCCAGTCGAGAGGTGATGAAGGCGTGGATGAGTGTTTCAGCGGCTGTGGAGGAGAGGGAGGGGCAGAGACGGGCGATGTTTTTGAGATGAAAGAAGACGTTCAAAGGAGAGGGTTTTCAGATTGCATCCAGGTTTTTATATCTGTTAGGCAGTTGGTGATGGTGGAGTGGGTGGTGGGGGTGATGGATTTGGTGGAGATGTAGAGCTGGGTGTCGTCAGCATGGCAGTGGAAATGGAGACCATGGTGGCGTATGATGTCGCCAAGGGGGAGCAGGTAGAGGATGAAGAGGAGGGGACCGAGTACTGAACCTTGAGAGACTGGGGCTGTGTCAGACTTGAATTTGTTGATACTAATGAACTGTTCACGGTCGGAGAGGTATGATCTGAACCAGGAGAGGGCTGTGCCAGTAATGTGGAGGGAGGACGGAAGGAGTGGTTGATGGTGTCGAAGGTTGCACTGAGGTCGAGTAGTATTAGGATGTTGAGGGAGTGGTCATCAGAGGAGAAGAGGAGGTCGTTGGTGACTTTGATCAGGACAGTTTCTGTGCTGTGATGAGATCTGAATCCAGATTGAAATGGTTCATACAGTTGGTTCGAGTCCAGGTGGGTGTTGAGTTGGTGGGCAACAGTGCGTTCCAGTATTTTAGACAGAAAAGGAAGATTGGAAATGGGTCTGTAGTTGTTGTGGATGTCAGGGTCAAGGCCAGGCTTTTTGAGGGTGGGTGTGACTGAGGCGAGTTTGAGGGTGAGAGGAACGGAGCCAGTAGACAGGGAGGAGTTGATGACAGAGAGGAGGTGCGGGCGGAGGGCCGGGAGACAATCCATGACTAGAGTGATAGGGTCCAGGTCACAAGTCGGAGTCTTCATGCCAGAAAGTGATTTATTGAGATCTGAGGGGGAGATGAGGGAGAATCGGGAGAGTGACCGGTCAGTTAGTGGGGGATTTACAGATACAGGGTTGGACATGGCGGGGCTGGAAGTGGCCAATTGGTAATAGATGGTATCAAGTTTTGCTTTGTAGAATGACAGGAAGGAGTTGCATTTCTCTGCTGTGGAGGAGTGGGAGGGACTGAAGGTTTGAGGAGTTTGTTTATTGTAGAGAAGAGGACCTTGGGGTTGGCGGAACCAGAGTGGATGATGCCAGAGTAGTAGGTGGAGCGAGCAGAGTTGATAGCCAGTTTGTATTGCTGTATGTATTCCTTGTAAGCTAGGGTGTGAGGCCGGTTTTGTTGGAGAGTCGCTCTAGTCTGCGTTTCCGGGATTTCGTGAGGCGGAGTTCAGTGGTGAACCAGGGACAGTGTGGGTGCAAGAGACAGTTCTGGTTCCATTTTATCAAATGGCTATATTTCTACTTAAATAAAAAACATTACAGACAACATTACAATACTGAAATAAGTCACTCTGAGAACAGATGGCAGTATATCTTATTGTGCAAGTCAGATGCTGCTTCATGCTCTCTTCATAACTGTTATTGATTAGATCAATGTTTTGTCGTGGACTTTCATTATGATGTTAAAGCAGATTTTGACAAACAGAAAAAAGGCTATCAACCCATTGGGTCACCATGAACTGTCATGATACTTAGAACTACGAACTACTCTAATAACATGAGTTTAACCTTTAAAATGATGTGTTTCAATGAGACGATTAGTCGATTTCTGATGTTCAGCTGTTTGTGTTTCTGATGGCAGGTTGAAGTTGTAAATCATGACAGCAGTCCGGCTCGAGGCTTGAGTGTGGTGGTGGATCCAGGCCAAGTGCAGGGCGTGACCGCATCCAATGGCATAGCAAAGCTTTCCATCAATACAGGGGCAAGGAACCCACGCTTTACAATAACTGTAAGTCTCTGAAATCTTTTACCATTTTTGAATTTCAGCTTTTGTTGGCAAACATTTTTGGCGTTCACTTGAAGAGGTGAAATCAAGCCGAGCAGCTCCCTGTTATTGGTCATCTGTTTGCACTTTTACTGTACAGTATGTCACAAGGTGAACTTCATCTTGTCAGTGTAATGTCTGTTTGTCATTCTATTTAGCAGCCATGATAAGTTGAGATAGGAAAGACTTGGGGCTCTTCAAGTATTCTTTATTGAACTGTGTGTATATGCTTCCCTGTGTGTGTGTGTCTTTATTTACAGGCAAGGACCAACGATCCTGCTATTGGCTCTGAAAGACAAGCATCAGCCTCCATGGTAGCTTTCCCATATACAACACCGAGCAATAACTACATCAACATAGGTGAGGGACATCCTGACATATAACATCAGATGGTAAAAAAAAAAGGAGATAGCAGTGGAAAGTGTGCACCATGCACTACATCTTTTGGGTAATATGACAACATGTCATATTTGCAGGTGCGGATACCGCGGAGCTGAAATTAGGAGACAACCTGAAAATCTACCTCATGCTCAACCGGCAGGAAAACCATGACACTGACATCACATACCTGGTGAGAGATGTTTTACACCTGTGCATGTGTGCATATATATTACTCTTTTGGTTGCGTTCCTCTTCGTGTGTAAAAATACAGTCATGGCTGATAAGTGCTGATGTTCAAATCTGCCTCCCTAGATCTTGAGCAAAGGTCAGCTGGTGAACAATGGCCGTTACAGGACAAGAGGTCAAGTTGTGATTTCCCTGATAGTTCCTGTTACCAAAGAAATGCTGCCATCGTTCCGCATCATAGCCTACTACCATACCAACGGCAATGAAGTGGTATCAGACTCTGTTAGGGTGGATGTCAAGGACTCCTGCATGGGCTCGGTGAGACACGCAATACTGATGTAGTAGAGTTTAAGTGGGCAAACAAAACACCCACACACAAGCTGATGAAGTTATTTGTAAATTTCTCAGACATATTTTTTGTGTATGAAACTGCTTAAGCAAATACAGAACTGCATGTCTCATTCACTGAGCTCCCCTTCACATTCAGCTGAGGCTTGAATCGTCAACAGCCACACCTTCCTATGAGCCCCGCAAGAGGTTTGCTCTGAAGGTCACAGGAGATCCAGATGCCACAGTGGGACTGTTGGCAGTTGACAAAGGCGTTTACGTCCAAAACAACAAGCACCGTCTCACCCAGAAAAAGGCAATTTCTTTATGTCATATTTATCTCTTAAAATATTTGAAAGGGGTTTCATTTAAAAAAAAACTATGTATAAAAGAAAATTACACACGTGTTAAATTTCACGTTTGTTAGCTTTTGGGTTCAGATAATATCCGGTGTAAATTTGTCCTGCAGCTAAATTGCGTTGCATGAGTTCATGTGTACATATCAGATCCATCATGTGAGTTTATAGATGTGTTTGTTTAACTTGCATACTGTAACCATACGTCTTGTTTGTGTGTGTGTGTGTGTGTGTGAATGACTTCCGACCTGCTCAGGTGTGGGACATTGTAGAGAAGTACGACACAGGCTGCACACCAGGTGGAGGGAGGGACGGTATGCATGTGTTTTACGATGCTGGGCTGATGTTTCAGTCCAACGCGGGTTCTGGGACACCCTACAGAACAGGTGACACTAATTTACGCTCCCCTTCCCTGAACATTGTATCACTGAAATATCTCTGATTAGGAGAAGTGGGCACTGTAACGTCAGGAGAGGTCACTAGAGCAGGCTAGGGTGGGGTGGTGCAAGGGAAACTAACAAAAAACAGACAAAATCAAAAGGTTCTCAGAATAAGATCCCGTTTTATTCTGATTCTAAAAACAAACAAACAAAAAGCATCCAAGCGGAGATAATAGTTCATACAATAAACCTTTACTCATCGCTAGTGTTTTTTAGGAGTAAGCATCTAGTGGACAGTAAAAACGGCATCTTAAACCAAATTGCAATATATTTCTTGCTCAACTTTTTCAGTATTTTGACATGTAAATAGATTTCAGAGACATTGTTTCGTTGCTGTCTCGTTTTTTAATTCTTCAGGGCTGTGAGCAACACAAACAAAGAGCCACACATGGCACATGAAGCCAAAACTATCTACCAAATACTACCTGACGTAAGTGAGATAATATGATTTTGGTTGAACAGACGCTTTGAGGCATTTCCATTTGAACTATTGTGACTGCCACATTAGGTGATCATGGTCCCTCCCTTATTTCAGGGGTCTTAGAATATTTCCTTTAGCATTTTATTATAATAAAGCATTTATACGTTTTAACATTTCAACAAATGGATGTGCAATTGTAGATCAAATTTTCTCACAGCCTCACCCTGTCCACGTTGCCAACCAGATTAATGACCTCACTTTGATTTAAAGAGATTCACATCAATTATACCAAGCACAAATCAAGTTTACGTCCCACCTTTTAAAGTTAAAAACGTGTCTGTTTTTCCAGAATTGAAATGTCCGGCCCCCAGTAGGAGGAAACGAGCCACTACGATCATGAACGTCACAACCAGTTTAAGTAAGAACCACGGCTCTAAACTCCCCAATAAACACATCATCAGTCATCTTCAGTCACTCAGTTCTCACGATGTTTGTCGTTGGACAGCTTGTCCCATTGACTTTCACTGTTCCCGTCTTTGCCATGCTATGTATTAGTAGACAGATAAAAGTGAGGTGAAACTGTTTTTACTTCATACTTTCTTCTAATCGATCTAATCTGTGCTTCTACTTTTTCATACTGAAGGGAGAAGGAGCCGTCTTTTCTTGTCAGTTTTCCCCCTCCCTGTCCCATTCAATTTTAGTAACATTTTTAATGACACTTTAGGTGAGGTGGATGACAACAGTTACATGGACAGCTATGAAATAATTTCTCGCACCAAATTCTCTGAGAGTTGGCTGTGGTTAGACATCAAACTGCCTGCTTGTCCTCGACAAACACCTAACTGGTGAGTCAACTGAAATATGCACAGACAAAATATACTGATAACTTCACACTGACACCACTAGAATTTAAAGCTACCCTTTACCTCTCAAAGTGTTAACCCTTTTCTATGTTTCAGTGACACCACATCATTGACGAGAAATGTTATTTTGCACGACTCAATCACAACCTGGCAGTTCACTGGCATTAGTCTGTCACAAACTCACGGTGAGGATTCAGTGACTAAAACCTGTAAACCTCTCCCATCCTTTACACCTCTCTCTCTCTCTCCCTTTTTTCTCATTCATCACTTGTATTTATCCCTCTCATCTTAAAGGAATCTGTGTTGGCGATCCCTTAGAGGTACTTGTCCGGAAGGAATTCTTCGTTGATCTTAAGCTGCCGTACTCTGCTGTCCGTGGAGAGCAGCTGGAAGTTAAGGCAATCCTCCATAACTACAGCCCCGATCTTGCCACCGTAAGTCTGTGTTCCTCTGCTCTGGTGTTTCATGCCAGAGCCAATGAGATCAAGATATTATTTCTCTTAGCGATTTCAAACAAAAGTGCAAAAACAACAGTAAATATTGGACTGACATACAACGAGTGCCACTCAAAGAAATAGAACGAATTAACTCGTCTTTGATGAATGGTGGTTGGTCCCCAGAACTGGGACAATCTGCCTTTCCATTCTCAAGTTCAAATTGATCCCAAAGGAAACAATATAAAGCATTACATTTCTTCAAATTAGGAATGCATCATTGGTAGGTGACCTAAAATAAAACTGATTACTATGATCTCTATTATCTGCTCAATTGGGGTCTTCATCTTTGACAGTGACATATACTTCATTCTCTTGCTCCATCTTTGTCCTGTTTTCAAGGTGCGTGTGGATCTGATTGAGGAGGAGGATGTGTGCAGTGCAGCCTCTAAACGTGGAAAGTATCGTCAGGAGGTCAGAATTGGGCCCCAAACTACACGCTCTGTGCCATTCGTTGTTATTCCCATGAAAATAGGACAATACAGCATTGAGGTCAAAGCAGCTGTTAAAGATTCATTGCTCCATGATGGAATCAGGAAGATGCTGTGGGTGGTGGTAAGGGAAACATCGATCTTCCGTGTTAAAGTCAGCATAGGGAAACACACATCAGTTGCTTAACCTTGATGCATATGTGTACTGTATCAGCCTTTTCAAAATGAAGAGAAGATTTTAAGCCATATTGTATTTTGTTACACACCAGCAGACTACTAAAATATTGTTGTGAGTTGTAATGTTTGTCCTAACTGTTGTTTTTCCAGCCTGAAGGTGTACTGGTTAAATCTTCTCAGATTATAACTCTAGACCCCTCTACTAAAGGTGTAGGTGAGTTTACCCATAAATAGCTATATTATATAGTAATTTGGTAATATTGTGTTTTTATCACTTGCGAATTGATCATCACTTGCGAATTGATCCCCCAACTTGCCCACTGTTTGTCCCTTCAGATGGTAAACAAGAAGAAACTCTCAACAGTGGAATTCCTAACAAAGATTTGGTTCGAGACACACCTACTAGCATACATATCTCTGTGACAGGTGAGATGTTATGTCATATTTGGGCGCGTTATGTCACATAGTGCTTGTAAAATGAACTGTTATAAATTGGCATTGTTCTAATGACTACCTCACTGGTTGTGGGGGACCTTTGCATGTTTCTTTGTGTTGATTTGTAACGTTTCGTTTTTTTCTGTTTGTGTGTGTGACTGCAGGGAGAGAACAAGTTTCTGCACTGGTGGAGAACCCCGTTAGCGGAAACTCTATGGGTAGTCTGATCAGACAACCCTCAGGCCCTGGAGAAACGAACATGATCCACATGACTCTACCTGTCATTGCAACAACTTATTTGGACAAAACCAACCAGTGGGAAAGTGTGGGCTTAGAGAAACGTAGCGAAGCCCTCCAACACATCAAGACTGGTAGGTATTGACACAGATACCAAGAATCTTATTGATGCCCCTCTGTGTAGGATTTTTAAGTTTCTGATGTTGCAGAAGTGGTATGAAAAATAAAAACAGTATGGCAGAGACAGCAATGCATGTTACCACTGCCCCAAGCAGAGACACTAAGTATTAGTGGTCTGAATGCAATACATAGACTATATAAGTTGAACTACAACCAAAAACATATCCCAGCAGAATCATTTAAAACAGTGATTCTCAACTGGTGGGTCGCGACCCAGTTTTGGACCCGTTTTCAGTGGGCCTTTGCCTGAAAAAGAAAAAATCCTGTGCTTTTATTTTGATGGGGATTTTTTATGCAGTGGAGTGCCATCTATTCACACTCCTTAACATGTGTGGGACGGGGACTGACAGGAACAATTTCTCTGCACAAGAGAGCTCCCTACTACTATGACTGCAGAGGACATTTTCAGCTCGGGTTCAAACTGCACCATCTTTTCATTTGAGAAGTTGAAAATTTTTCCTTGATTTGGGTCGCGGCTTGTCATTAAGGGGTGATGGTGGGTCCCGCAGCCAGACCACTTGAGAACCACTGATTTAAAAGATGCAATTATAACAGGAGAAAAATGTAACGGGGCTCCTCAGACTGGTTGCGTGTGCTTGTTTGTGTCCAGGCTACCTGAACGAGCTTGCTTATCGTAAAGATGATGGGTCTTTTGCTATGTGGCCCAGCCACAAAAGTAGCACCTGGTGAGGCTTTCAAATATCCAAGAACTCATACAAATGTTTCCACTTCCTCCTTTAACCTAAATTCTGACTATGTGGTGATGGTGTATTTCATGTGCAAATAAAGGAAACTAAATGTCTCCTCTCCTCTCTCAGGCTGACAGCCTATGTTGCCAAGGTGTTTGCCATGGCCAACAGTCTGGTGGAAGTGCAAAGCAAAGACATCTGTGACGCTATTAAGTATCTGATTCTCAACACGCAGCAACCTGACGGCTTTTTTAGAGAAGTTGGAAAGCTGTTCCTCATAGAGATGATTGTGCGTGAACTGATTTTATTATCGTCAATAACAAAATAACAAGATGGAAACAATTTGATGTCACTGGCTAAAACCTTATATAATTCAATATGTTTGTGTCCCTACGTGTGTAGGGTGATGTTTGCGGCACAGATTCAGATGCCTCCATGACGGCCTTCTGTCTCATTGCCATGCAGGAGTCACGCACACTATGTGCTGCCACTGTTAATGTCAGTACCTCATCTCCATACGATGTTTTTTTCTTTTCCCTCCACTGCTTTTATTTCTTAATTTTTAGATTCTACACTAGTGATGGACAAACAACGCTTTCTGACGATGAAGCAACTCGTCATTTGCAAAGTCTCTTAGTCACTGTCGTGACTCCTAATAGAGCTTTCCGTTCTTGCACATGCAGTTTACAGTAAGGACAGGGCAAGTTTACTATTCAAAATACTTGGGCTCTTCATTTCACACAGGGTTCGACAAATTCAGTTTGCATTTCTAGCCACTGGCAGATTTGGTCAACTGTAAATAAATACCTAATTAAGCTAACATTGGCTCTGTGAGTTGGTTGAAGAGGATATTGTAGTGCAATGTAGAGCTAGTTAGTCCTTGCATTATGAGTATGGTTAGGAAAAATGTTCAATCAGACTTGTTTCATTCTAATATACATACATACGTGTACGTATACATGTTTATATAAATTCTAATAACTTGGCTGCTTAGCTATATTTGTAACGTAAAGCTGTCTTCGGTAATGTTTGCTTGCGTTGCTGGAGTTCCTCAAAAACAATAAACAGCTGCACAAAACACCTTCAGTCGGGAAATACTACGTATTATTTCTTAGGTAATGAGAGTAATGTTTCTGGAGGTAGTGTTACAAAAAACAGTTTGAATACTGCTTCAGCAGGTGGAACGACCTGTCGAGTCTAGTTTCAGTTGCTAACCCAAAATAGCAATTGCTGGGAGGGGTTTATCGAATGGTCAATTGTGCTGAAATGACTCTTTCGAAGCATGTGACACATTCAAAATGGCAACATTTGCTGCCAACCCTTGGTTTGGCATTTCCATGGAGCATTAAATCCACACTCAAATAGTAACTGTAACTGTGGGCGCCTCAGACACAGGCGAGGGAGTTGAGACATTCCGGACTCGGCTAATGTCCCAGGATCAAATGTTACAACATTCCTGAACACAACGGGATATTTAAAATGGATGGATTACTGTTATCCGACTGTTTTCTCCTCACTTTCCTTTTTCCTTGCTTTTTTTTTCCATCCAGACTCTGCAAGGCAGTATAGACAAAGCAGTGGTCTCTCTGGAAAGCCGTCTGCCCAGCCTCACCAACCCATATGCTGTCGCCATGACGTCATATGCCCTGGCAAATGAAGACAAACTGAACCGGGAGATCCTCTACAAGTTTGTTTCCTCAGGTGTCGTCACACAGCATGATTCTTAAACTGATTCTATGTTGTAGTGTTTGGATATTACACATGTACTATTCATTTCTACAATAGGTTTATCAGAGCCCGACCAACACAATGGTATGTTGGGCAATATTATTGGGTAACTTTTGCTTCATGCAAAAATGTCAAAGATATGTTTTTAAGTGATTTAGAAACAGTTTCTCATTTACATTGATTGTCCACCAGATTAGACAACTTTATTGTTCAGCTATATAGTGTCCTGCTCAGTACATATTTTTGAAACAATTTTTGAACTACACATTTGTATGTGTGAAAACCAAATATCAAATTTTTTATTTCTGCAATATCAATAATCTGTATTGTTCTTAATAATCTTCTCAGTTGGGCTCTTATGTAGAAAGATAGAAAGATTAGTTACTTTTTTTTAAATTGAGGACATTTTACTTCTATAACATTAAACACGTTGAGACGAGGGATTGGGGAATTATCAGTGTTCAAGGTACAGCATTGTAATAACAAGCTATTTGTGTGCGTCTTCCTCAGACTTATCTCACTGGCCGACACCTAGGGGACGTGTTTACACTCTGGAGGCCACAGCTTATGCTCTTCTTGCTCTGGTCAAGGCCAAGGTGAGCACGTCCCACTTGTTTGGGTTTTACCAGGATGTCATGCTACAAAAAACATACAACTCAGTCATCCTCCATGTTGCCTCACTAAAAGGGTGGAGGGTTTGGAAACAAAAGTCAATGAAATGTTTGTCTCATTTATGCCAATGCCTTGAAATATTGGTTTCAAGTTTCAAGTAGCTGCTGTTTGGTTGTGCCATAATAGGAAAAACTGATTTAGAAGCTCTATGGTAGACTTGGAAACTTAAGAAACTGGCAGGTTACAATCTAAAATACAACTGTACCAGAATCAGGACATCTCTCTATTTTAATTCAATTAATAATTTTTTTGAATCAATATGCAACCACAGACCACAGGAAATGTCAACCATTTACTTTCCTTATGTTAATAAAGGCCTTTGAAGAAGCCAGACCTGTTGTGAGATGGTTCAACAAGCAGCAGAAGGTGGGCGGAGGCTATGGATCGACCCAGGTAACACTGACCTCTCTCTGCTTCTTGATACCTCCATCCTATGTTTACTTTATTGTTTTATTTCTAAGTCTTGGTTTCTCACTCTTTTTCTCTCTAGGCTACCATAATAGTGTACCAGGCAATAGCAGAGTACTGGGCCAATGCTAAAAAAACAGAGTATGATCTGAATGTGAAGATCATGTTGTCGGGCAGGTCAAGGCCTTACGTGTACAACTTCAACAGGGACAACCACTACACCACCAGAATAGCTAGAGTGAGAAGACACACAAACAAACTCTCTGTGACTCAATATCACCACTCCTGATGTTTCCTGTAGGTTTATTCTGCTGATCTTTGACCGTGTGTGTGTGTGTTTGTGTGCATATTTAAATTCGCACAGATCAATGACATAAACCAGAATGTGACAGTGACTGCCACCGGCTCAGGAGAAGCAACGTTGACAGTGAGCACAATATGTTTTCAGATTCTGAGTTTTATCATCTGTTGATTGTTGATTTGTCACCAAATACATTTTTAACCTTCTGTGGACTTTATTTTTAAGACACATTTTGCGATGCACTTTTATCTATGTGACAGATGGTGTCGCTGTATTACACTCTGCCAAAAGAAAAGGAGAGTGACTGTGAGAAGTTTAACATGTCTGTGCAGCTCCTCCCAGGTAATGTGGTGCGCTCCCTCTCCTTCTGTTTATTTGTTGTCATTTTATCAGTTTGTTGCTGCCAAGTTCCTTAACCTTATGAGAAACGAATAAACAAAATACTCAATTACTTTTGCTCCTGCAGAGAGCATGGATGAGGATGAGAAGATATACAAGCTGAGAATTGAGGTTTTGTGAGTACAATAAAGATGTCATACTGACCAGTGTTACAGTAACATGGCTATACAGATCATCTTCTAACATAATTAACATTCTTTCTCTCCATCTCCTTTATGCCATTATTTGTCTGTCTATTCTTTGTGTAGGTATAAGGACAAGGACAGCGATGCATCCATGTCAATCTTGGTTATTGGCTTGCTAACTGGCTTCACTGTTAACACAAATGACCTGGACCAAGTAAGAACTGACAGATACATGTATACCCACATACAGTTCAGTCAAGTTGTTTATTAGGAGAAACAAGTAGTTTTATAAGGTTTAGAAAGTTGTCTGACAGTGTGTGTGTGTGCGTGTGTGTGTGTGTGTGTGTGTGTGTGTGTAGTTGTCCCGAGGACGTGCTCCCACCATTGCGAAATATGAGATGAACACAGTCCTGTCAGAAAGAGGCTCACTCATCATCTACCTGGACAAGGTAAGACATCCCTGTTTCCTGCCTTTACAGTTTTTCTCTCTGCCTTGTTCTTTGTGTGTTATCCCCACCTTACCTTTGTCCACAGGTTTCTCACTTACGACCCGAGGAGATCACTTTTAGGGTCCATCAGAAGCTGAAAGTGGGCATCCTTCAACCAGCTCCTGTGTCTGTTTACGAATACTATGACCGTAAGTCACTTAGAAACACATGATGCTTCCATGTACTATACTGTCAATAGATGTCGGAGTAGACAACACTGTGGATGAGCAGTCGATATTACATTTTCAAAGTATTTAATGTGAATGTTCTGATGTACTGGAGCTACCACAAACTCCTTTTCAAATATCTTTATTCACCATTGCAGAAACACGTTGTGTGAAATTCTACCATCCAGAGAGGAAAGCTGGAATGTTAATGCGTCTCTGTATAAATGATGAATGCACATGTGCTGAAGGTAAACAAGATGATGTCAAACTACTCTCACTGGACTGAGCTGCATTTTTAATCATTCGAATTGGGTTTTTCATCGGATAATGCTAAAATTACAAAATTGTTTTATTTGCTGATATAGAAGAAAAATAGCTGACAGAATCAAGAGAGAAAACATTTTTGGCTAAAAATTGATTCAAATTGAATGACTTTTCGTCGACGAAAACATTTTGAGTTGTTGACGAAAACTATGAAGGATGAAAATGCCTAAAACAAATAAGCATTTTCATCTAAAGACTAAGATAAATGCTGCATTCACGTGCAATCAGGCAGACGGTAGACAGATAGTATTTTAGTGGATGAGAGCAGAACAGTAAAATCAGGTAAGACCGGCAGAGAATACTGTTAACGGCAGACGGCATTGCTGTCCACATTTGCGACCGAATTTACAATCAGATGTTGTGTAGCTCCCTCACAGAAATACAAAGTTGTTTAACTTTCCAATAGAAAATTAAGAGAAAGCTGCATTTTATAGTTGTATGCATTACAAGAATAATTACGTAAAATAGTGGACATGAAATACTTTTGTTTAATATATTTTATTCCATCACCACAGCAACATATTCCGTATGACTGTTGGTTTGTTTTTCCAGTGCCGTCCAGAAAGTGTCCGTCTGCTTCTACGTTCTGCCTGATTCCATGTGAATGCTGAATAAGACTAAATATAAAATAGCTTCCAAAATGAACACTGGTTTACAGTAAATCACCAGATTGTAACATAATGATCAACTTTTTGTCAGACAACAAGCACCTGTAGGATCAGAGCATCAGTCTAGCTAAATAATTAATTAAATTGTGATTTAGGTAGAGCTTCACTCGCCCATCAACTCTCCCTCTCACATCCACGTGTATTTATTTTATAGGGTCATCAGTCATGTTTTTACTTTGCAGAGAACTGCAGTATGCAGAAGAATAACAAAGTCAGCAATGATCAGCGCACGGCTACAGTCTGTGAGACTGAATTGAACAATAAAGTAGATTTTGGTAAGTGAGCGTGACTGCATTTATAAAGCACTTTTATACAAAAAAATGTTTGTTGGTGTGAGTAAGAGACTAGTATAAGTAACTCCGCTAACAATCTGCAACTTGTCTGTCCTAAGTGTACAAAGTGGGACTGGAAGAGTTTAGAGAAGGTTTGTCCACTGATATTTACAAAGTGCGGGTACTGCAAGTCATCAAAGAAGGTGGGTATTTATAATTTTGGGACATGTAAATATTTGCTTTCTGTCAGAGAGTTGGATGAGAAGACTGGTACTACTCACATGTTTGTAAAAAGCCATCCAAATTAGCTTGCATTGCCAGGTAACAAGCAGACACTCCAGGAAGTTACTGGTTGGTTCTAGCCAAGAAATATTACAGTACAGTCTGGCTGCATCTAGCGGTAAGGTTGCAGATTGCAACCAACCGAAACTTTTCCCGTGTGTCAAGCGTGGTGGCCGGCGTGAATGGCTCCATCTGGAGTGTTTGGTTTGTCCGTTCTGGGCTACTGTAGAAACATGGCAGTGCAACATATTGGACGCAATTAAGAGGACCTGCTCTCTATGTAGATATATTGTAAACGGTTCATTCTGAGGTAACAACATGATTATACTTTGAAGAAAATATACCAATTAATGCCAATAGATCGCCTTAACAGCTTCACACTGGCCCTTTTAAAAGGTTAATTGTAATTTTAACAATTTATTTTTTGTATTGATTAAACAGTATATTAGGGGTGCTAGTAGGTAGATTTTGTTATCTTTGTACAGAGTCAGGCTAACTGTTTCCAGTTTTTATGCTAAGCTAAGTTAGCCGGCTGTTGTCTGCACATTTGCTGTACAGTCATGAGAGTGGTATATCAACAGAGGTATCAATCTAACTCTCTGCAAGAAATCCAATAAGCGCATGTCCAACTATTTTGTGAAGCATGATTCCACTGTGGCACTGGGAATATGTGACAATACATCACTGTGTTGTACTGCACCTTTAGCGCTGTGTTTAATCCTTACCTTTTCTATGTTCTCTTATATTTTGATTACAGGAAGCAAGGATGTGCGTCCTCTGAATGAACTGCGCACATTGCTCAGTTATCCATACTGCAGGGAGCCGTTGGATCTGAGAACAGGCAAAAACTACCTTATCATGGGCACATCCAAAGATATTCACAGATATGACCAAGACCAATCGTAAGCTTGTTCTTTGTGTGAAAGTGTGTGTATTGAAATGTTTTTATTGCTTTCTACTACTAAATCAAGTTAGCCTTTCTTGTTCTCTTGTTTATGTGTTTCTGTTGCTATCGACAGAGTAAATTAACGTAAAGAAGGAGGGAGGAGGCTTTTTCATGTTATGTTCCATCGTATTGCAGATAGCTGTTCAGATTAAGAACCAATGCATTTTTCCCTTTGCTCTCCTCAGGTATCAGTATATGCTCGGAGAGAGAACCTGGATTGAGAATTGGCCCACCAACGCAGAGTGTCAAACTGACGAACACAGACCTACCTGTTTGGGCATGGCGGATATGATCCAGCAGTACCTAGTCTTTGGATGTCGCGACTAAACAAAAATACAGTGTTCTTTTCAGATTTTGGATTTTCATCCTTAATATGTAAAACTTTCCCTGCTATGGGATATAAGGGCCTACAATATTGCACTGTATTGATTAAAAGTGAATGGTCTCAATAATTCTGTCTTCTTTACAGATTAAAGTTATTACTGTTATGTTGGTTATGGTAAATGCATGGTAAAAAAACTTAAAGTAGAAGTTTCATAAAGTTTGATTTTGTTGAGCGAGCTCAGTGGGGTGATACATAGAAAGTTAAACAATACAGAATGAAAAGAACAGCTCATATAGATCAATTATTGAGAACTGCAGCAGTAATAAACTGGCATTTTCATCAAAAAAGTCATCAATTTATCAGTATTGTTGACAGAAAATGGATATGACTATATTAATCAATGAACAGATGTATTCCTACTGTGAGACACAAAATATCCAACTGTTCAATTTCCCAAGAAGAAAACCTTCCCTTTCATCTTATGGTGCATAATTACATTATCTATTTGCATTTGCTAATCTAGTCATAGTCCTATTTGCTGTTTTTTAATTATGTGGTGATGGTCTTCTAGTGACCAAAAACATTTGTTTTGAATTCAACATTGTGGAAAATACACTTATCTGCTTTAATATATAAAGTTAGATTGATACTAGTCTCACATACGTAGTTAGAGCCAGATGGCTCTTAGCTTAGAAAAAAGGCTTAAAGCAAATGGAAAGCTTGGTTATTAACAAAATAAATCTTGTTTATTTAGACCATACACAAAAACAACTGTAAAATTGTTATTTATATGCTGTTACTTAGACTTGACAACCAGATGCTTGGCACAATAGCTACCTGTATTTACCATGAAGTTGGCAAGCAACCTGTGGAGAAGTCACAGTTTCTGATTGTTTGTTCACAACAACCTCATATAACTGTAACTTGCCGTTCCAGACGGATTGTCAGTCCTGCTTCATGCAGGGCTTAAATCCTAATCTGAGGTGCTGTCAGTAACCCACCTTGGTTTTTCCAGTTTCTAGTATTCCTACCCGCTCCTCTTTGATGCCAGACGTTGAGTAGGTTGGCTCTTCAAAGGTCTCCTCTTTTCTGAGGCCTTCCTCATTACTCCTTCTGGTCCTTTTAGCAGGACATTCTGGTCCTCGGAGATTTCGTCCCTGCTCCTATTTGTGGAGGAGTTACAGAAGGAAGTTGAGGGAGTCAACTCTTCAGAGTTCTCCTCCTATATGAGAATCTTCTGACGACTCCAGGACTCAGACAAAGAGCTCCATCCTGCTGGATGCCCTCACTGCTACAAAGAAAAAAGTCACCAGATGCGACTGTTTCCAGATGGGTTTGTCAGTCCTGCTTCATACAGGGCTGAAATCCTAATCGGAGTCGCTGTCATCGTCCCACCTCGGCCTCTTGGCCATTACCTTCCAGAATCTCTCGCCGCTCCTCTTTCCGGAGGATCCGAGGCCAGAAGTTGACTGAATGGGCTCTTTGGAACAACTCTCCTCGTCGCCCTCCTCCCTGCTCCTCTTTCGGGCTGGAAGTTGAGGGAGTTGGCTCTTCACGGCTGTCTTCTTCCTCGATGCCTCCTTGATGCTGAGGAAGGTCCTGATGCTGAGGAGCGTGATGATGATGAAGAGGGTGCTGACGCTGAGGAGGTTCCTGCTGGGGTCCTCTGAACAGTCGTAGGAAGAAGTTGTGCACCAACCGGATGAAGTCTGGAGGAGGATGTCCGTCCCATCCCGGCCAAAGCTCTGGTGGTGGAACGTCTACCAGGCCAGGACGTCTGAAGACTTCACCGTTGTCTTCAAACTCAAACTCCTCCTCTTCTTCATCCAACCAATGACGATCTTCGTCTTCTTCCTCAGGCCACAGGCCCCCGTAACCAGAATCCTCTCCGTTGGGCCAGTCAGAAGACTCATGGCCACTCCAGTCATCACTATAATCTGTCCCTTCAGCCTCATCATCGTCGTCCTTGGTTCTTTCCAGCAAAGTGCTGTTGCCAGTGGATAGCTACACATATACTAGTGAAGCATGGCATACAACATCTTGGCTGGATCACTGTATATGTACAGCTGATGCTCATGACTGTCTCGAGGATGTTGCAATCTTGTATGAGCTGGCTACAACAGATCACATGTCTCTATGATATTAAATGTTGGGAGTCTAGCTGAGTTGACCAGTTATGATAACCATGAACAAAGTTTTAAAGTAGATGGGTCAAAGCTCACAGAAGATGATTTCTTGCATTACAACTCACTAACTGATAAGATCCTCAGTAATATTGTTATACCACTTGATTCAATATCCTGTTAACTGTTCTGCACTTCAATTTAAAAATAAAAGTCCCATCTTCTGCCACCCTGATATTTGAGAACATTCAAATTGCTGGACAGAAGATTTAAAATGATCTCAATTGCTTTAAACTATAGGTATTTGTAAAATTTGGTTTATTTGAAAGATTTCAACGATAAAATCATGCCATTGTATTACTTTTGCATTCATTATCATTCAAATAAAAAAATTTGATAGTGTTCTTAGTCTGTTCATTTGCTCGGAAGGTTGTGCCGCCTGACATTTTCAGGGTTTGAGATGCTAAAACATAAAAGAATAAATATTATTTGAATGTACTGAAAATATATTCAAACTCAATAGCTTTTATTGAATGAAATGATACATGTCTTGAATTGATACAAAATATTTTAAAAGGAAATAATGGACTCGGACTCTAAAATATACAATGTCATGTCATTGACCCGTACACATAAATGTTTCAAATTGTATCAATATGACGTGTGAGAAATGTGTATTCAGTGAAACTTTATATTTGATGCATGCTTAATGTATTTCCAGTTTGAGAATAATTGGAACGCTTCAGCGTGTCGATTTGGGGCATGAAATACAACTTTATTTTGAAGGTTATAACCGGAAGCTCTCTCTCCGGCGCAGGCAGCTCTGTCTGGTCAGGTATGGACAGGATATGCGAGACTACATTCAACCTGGCTCTCTAGCTTTAAACCGCCTCCTTCTGTCTGTGTGGCCAACGGGTGAGAAACACCTACTTTATGCAGGTGTTTGGCTCCGAGTTAACGGTACTTTACTGCACTAGGCGGAAGAAGAGTAAAAACTGTTACTTGCGATACAGCGTTAGTTGCCACGCTCAGGTTGAATTGAACCAACAGTTAGCGTAACTCCGTTAGCTGAAAGGAATGAATACAACGGTTACCTGCTAGCATAGCTAACATCAACTTTGGTTGATAACGTTAGCTTTTCTGGATTTGCTTAGATCAACAACACAGTGCTGTAAATACTGCTCGCCTCCAATGAGAAGCAGGAGGAAGCAACCATAGACTGAAGGGTGAAGCAGCAAACAAGTTGGCCTTTGGATACCCGAAAAGTGAGGTAAGATTAAGTTAGCTGTAGTAAGTTAGCGACTGTTTGTTATTTGAGTCTGTCTTGACCGCACTGCCCAATGACGTGGCATTGACCTGCTATTTAACAGCTCAGTCGAGCTGCAACACACCAACCTGTAGACGCTGTCAGGGAGTTTTCAGTGCCACATTAACTTATCATTACTCCTTTGTGTAATATTTACATAACCTGACTATCGCATGCGAACGCTCATATTGTGTTTTGTATTGTGCTTTCGCTCTATTAAGTATTTTTTTGTGTGCATTGCTTTCTCTAGATGAACTGTCAGGGTGATCACACCGCTCCATTGAGGGTGCTGGTGACAGGAGGATCCGGCTTGGTGGGCAGAGCCATACAGCATGTGGTCAAAGAGGAGGGGGGCGCCAAGGAGGGGGAAGAATGGATTTTCCTCTCCTCCAAAGATGCCAACCTCATGTGAGAGAGAACACTTCCTCTAGCTACTACCATTATGCAAACACACACGTTTTGGTGCTAATTGTGGCCTCTGTCCAGGAACATGGAGGAGACGAGGGCTGCGTTTGAGAAACATCGGCCAACCCACGTCATTCACCTGGCTGCTATGGTTGGGGGGCTTTTCAAGAACATGAAATACAACCTGGACTTTTGGGTATGAGGAAGTCGCGCTTCTGCTATCACTGCTGATAAGCTAGCACAGGTGTTTGGAAAGGTTGTTCGACGTGGGTTGAAAGTGGAATTTGTCGTGTTATAAACTGCTATTCATGTACTTGATTTCAGATACTGTTTTTTGTTAAAAACTGATGTTTGTCCCCTCCAGAGAAACAATATCTACATCAACGATAACGTGCTGCAGGCCGCACATGAAGTTGGCACGGTCAAGGTTGTTTCCTGTCTGTCCACCTGCATCTTCCCCGATAAGACCACCTACCCTATTGATGAGACCATGGTAAAAGACCCGTGGATATTCTCTTAGCTGGCGTCAGTAAATTTGTAAATGGAAACTAACTTTACTTTGTTTTCTTTGCACAAGATCCACAACGGTCCACCTCATGAGTCGAACTTTGGCTATGCCTATGCAAAGAGAATGATTGATGTTCATAACAGGTGGGAACTGATGGGTTTGTGCTGTAACGTGTTTTGTAAATGCTGCATGAATAAGACTTGTGTGTGTGTGTGTTTGTGTGTTTGTTTGTTTGTTTGTTTGTTTCACAGGGCGTATTTCCAGCAGGATGGGCGTTGCTATACAGCTGTGATTCCCACTAATGTCTTTGGTCCTCATGACAACTTCAGCATTGAAGACGGCCATGTGCTGCCAGGCCTCATCCACAAAGCGTACATCGCTCAAAGTAAGTCACATTCTCTTATATAATCTAATATTTCCCTATGGATTAAAACACCTGAAAATAACCCCAATACCAAATACCTTGGTAGGGGCAACTGTGGCTCAGTGGTAGAGCAGGGCCTTCCTTCATTCAGAGGATCGGCAGTCCAATCTCAGGCTCCCTTTAGTCCATGTCAATGTGTCCTAGGGCAAGACACTTAACCCCAAATTTCTCCCGCAGGCCGTTCCGACGGTGTATGAATGATTAGAAGTTTAATTTAAGAAATTATCCAACCGAAAAGCCCAGCCCAGTGTTGCTTTTCCAATGAAAGTAGCTAGCAGCAAAAGTCTCTAAATGTAGTGAGAAAGTTGCTAAGTCTGCAACACTGACAGCCACTCCCTCAAAATGATCATAAATAACGTTTACAAGCAACGTGGCTGTTGTTAGGTCTCACAGCTGTTCAGCTAGTAGCTTGTGGAAGACTCCTATGGTGCGCAATGAGTACATGGGCACCGTGCCATCAGGTAGACAGGCAGGTAGCCCATCCCATCATTTTAATCAGGGAAAAATAAAATGATTGGACAGGTTTATTATTGTCTTGCAACAGCCACATGTATCCAATTTTTCTGTTTTATTCAGAGCATTTGATTTATTGATTGCTGTCTGAATGTAAAAAGAATTTCAATCAAACAAATGTTTTAAAAATGCATTACCTTTCTAAGTGTTTACTTTCATACACTGAATCATTTAGTTTTAGAAAGCTTATTAAGTTGTGTTGTTACCAGTTAGTTGAAAATCAATATTTAATATAAGATTAGTAACGGCACCGATGCCAATCCTGCACATTGGACGAGCAGGGTCCATATAAATGGTGCACTTGTTTTTGTGCATGATTAGAGGAGGGGAAGCCCCTGGTGGTCTGGGGCTCCGGCACTCCCAGAAGACAGTTCATCTACTCTTTGGACCTGGCTCGTCTCTTCCTCTGGGTCTTGAGAGAGTATCCAGAGGTCGATCCAATCATTCTCTCTGGTGAGTCCTCATACACGGCATGTCCACAGTGAAAGCTGAATTAAGTTCATAGTGCTGATGTCCATGTCGTGTCTACTGGTTCCAGTTGGAGAGGAGGATGAAGTGTCCATAAAGGAAGCAGCAGAAGCAGTTGTGCAAGCACTGGACTTTAAAGGAGGAGTGGTGGTATCCTTTTGATCATGCTAACTGATTTTTAGAGGTGTTTAACTTGGACCAAGTGGTTTACTATATATACGTAGTCCACGTTCCAGACTTGAGGTGGTTCCAAGTTTTATTCAGCAAGGTTATCTGGATAACTTAGGAAACAACCCTCTTGGATCAGACTCCTGGCAAACAGAAAAGGTTCCATGTTTTGGTTGTGATGATCCCCAGTGTGAAAGAATGTGCTGGTTTTTGATTGTTGTTGCACATAGAGTACAAATTGCAAAGACTTGCTATTTTTCTTTTTACAGCGTTAAAATATCATGCATTTTGTAGTTAACAGACTTGTGTACAATTGTTACTATAGTCCTTTATAATCAAAGCGGCTGTTTGAAACATTTCTATATCATCAGTTCCATGTACTTAACCTTTGACCTCTAGTTTGATACCAGTAAAGCAGACGGCCAGTTCAAAAAGACAGCAAGCAATGCAAAGTTGCGCCGCTACCAGCCGGACTTCACCTTCACACCCTTCAAACAAGGTGGGACTGACTGTAAAGTACTTGGACATTACAGGAAGTATGTTTTGATTGCATCTGCTGTCTTCACTGACTCTTCTGGCTCTGTCTTTACAGCTTTAAAGGAAACCTGCGATTGGTTTGTTACCAACTATGAATCAGCCCGGAAGTGAAAGCTATTGCAAACAAGTTGGTATAAAGTCTGTGGACCCATGGCCCTCTCTGCTGGAATAGAAGCAACAAAGGTGGTTCATCTGCAAAGATAGTTACTGAATTAAGTCAGTTTGTGTCACTCAATATCTCACTTCAAGTCTGCAACACCATCTTGACTTGTTTCTCTTTAGGGTATTATGAAGCACTGTATGTCTTTCAATATTGTGTTAATTTGAATTGTTAGACTAGTTTTGTAATCCAGGTGCTGGCAAAATTCAATATTTGCAGCAATTGTTTATTATAAATCCTTTTCAGCAATTCAATCACTGAACTACTTCAATTTGTTAATGTTTGGGAGTTTACATGATCCAGCTTTGATTTACTATTTAATGAATAGAGTTTGGTATGTATTATTTTTATTCTCTATATTGGCACTGATCAAAATAAATGTTTCATACCAATATGTCTTCAGCGTCTTGCCTGAATCTTTGAGGGCTGTGATATAATTTTTTAGATTTTCATATTTTTACAGGAAGATAAAATGTAAAACAGTGAATTCAGCTGTTGAGACTATTGCTGTTTGAATAGATGTACAGATGGATTCATAAGCAAAGAAATAATTTATTAACTTAAAAATGAACAGCAGGCACAACTTACAATGACATCACAATAACAGTTGATTATAGTTTTTGCAGAGAAGACCCTCTAGCAATGTACACGTAGAGACAGTTAAAAAAAAAACATGGCAATAAAAATATATTTAAAACTTCTGTAGTCTTAAAAAGTGTCGTGCTCATTTGACAACATAGGGGATGTGGACTCCTTCGTGGACTCTGCAGTACTCCTGTCCCAGCACGGCTCTCTTCTTACAGGCCTTCCCTGTTCTTGTGACCCCATTGCACAGCTGACGGCCTGATAGAGAGCTGCCCCAGGGAAAATAGGAGAGAAGGGAACGTCGTGATCACTTAATTAATAACAAGCAACAATTACATGCTTTTAAGTTTTTAGGTGTGATCAGAAAGTAACAATCCTGACCTGTTGCTGACTAGTGACGGGGTCGGACTCGCACTTCGTGAGTTTGTGAATTCACGCGAGCTGTTCACTGCATCAAAAATACCTCCAAGGTTTCTTGGGGGAGTATCAGCAACCAGGGCCTATAAAATAAAAACAGAGTGTGAGGGCTCCTTTTAAATAATTCATGAGGTACTGTAAATAGATCTTTCGTGTGACAATTGCTTACTGCTGAAAGAAACTGCAGTGGTACAAGCCTGGGAGTGGAGTGGTTGGGTGTGCCAATAATCGGCATAAACCTGGACTCTGGCATTGGCTTCCTGTGAGGAGGAGTCACTGCAGCTATGCCAAAGTTACCTGTACACAAAGACATGAGTGACTGAATCAACTGGGGTGTCACTTTTCAGCAATACTTTTCACAGAATACTTTACCCCCAAAATTAACATTTGCATATCAGTTACTCACCCCGTGTTACCTTGAATTTTGTGAGGAACTGTTTTTCTCGCATTACTCATTTGTAAAATATTTCACTTTTAGGTACAGTACACCTGTCAAACCTGATATGAAGCTGTCTTGATTCAAAAGGTCATCTTGCTCCATGAAGCAATCATTTTTACCTCTGAAAAAAGAGAATACATCAAATAAAACCAAGTACAAAAGACAAATAGCAGTACAGCACTTTTTAAAATGAACAAATTTCCTTTGTACAATAGTTCATTTGAAAATAGTAAGAATAAAACAATGGCGAGGTGTCAGCTGAAATGATTACACAATTAGTTGATAAGGAAATCAGCAACTGCTTTGATAAAAAGTATTTTCTGCTTTTCTCTTTACATCAGTGTAAATTAAATATCTTTTGGACCATTCGGCTGACAAAACAAGACATTTTGAAGAAGTCATCGTGGGTTCTGGAAACCAAACAAAGCATTTAACAAAATAATGAATCAAGAAAATTGCTAGGTTTAATTCATTAGCCTTTTGCAGCATAGACAGTTTATAATGAACTCTGCAGACTCACTTCTGTGGTGTAGAGGACAGTGGATATGAGACTGGCTGCTTCATGGGCTTAACAATGTCACACGGGGCCAGTGGCAGCGGGGAGGCGGGCTTTCCTCTGATCTGGAGGCATGCCCACAACTGACTCACAAACCAGTGACCTGCACATATGGAAAAAACAAAACATTGGGACAGATACCTAACGAAGTTGAAGACTTTGTATTTGCCTTGTAAGCATCTTTAAGTTTGTACCCAGAGAGAGAATGAGCAGCAGCAGGCTGAGGCCGGTAAGATCCAGCGCCGGCTGCTGGTTGACCTCGGCCAGTGCATTGAGAGGCACGGCGAGCAGCAGCACGGCTCGAGAGAAACCTGGACAACGCAGGAACGTCAGCAGGACTGCACACAGGACAAAGTAGCCTGTGTGTGAGACACACGTCCACATGGCTGTCAGGCTCAAACCTGAAATCACAACAAGCACAAGGGACATTTAATAAGAAATAAAATCTTAACCAAATTTAAATAGTTTTAGGACATCTCAAACAAACGTGGTCACTGCACTGTGGGTGTGACGTCTCACCTGCCCAGCCAAGGTAGCCCTGGATCATGTGGAGCCTCTCCTCAATGCGGCTCTGCATGTTATCCAGGAAGAGCAGCGTGGCTCCAAGGGTGCTGTTCATGCGCTCCAGTTTGTTCATCAGGTCAGTGTAGTACTGAGAGGTCTGGTCCTGGTACTGCAGAAGCTCAGACATACTGTGGTCTGATCAGCCACAGGCACAGGGGAAAGAAATACATATTCAAGACGACACTTATTTCAACAGAAAGTTCTAATTGTGTGACGAATTTAGATTTGATTACCAATTTTTTGGTGGATGTCCTGAGCTTGGTGTCTGACATCTGCGAGGTCTTTAACAATGGCCTTGTGGCTGTCCTGCACCTCCGAGCCTTGGATCTGCAGATGTTCACTCACATTCTCTAAGAGCGGAGAGGGAGGCAGGCAGAAGGGAATAAATATCCATTTAATACTACAGGATGTGACATTAGAAGATATTCGGTTTGAAGGGGCAGACTAAACCTTTCAAAAACCCATTCTGAACATGAAACTGTCATAAAGTCTCCTTGTAAATCACTTTCTTTGAGGAATAAATGAGGATGTTTAGCAGCTTGAGACATCAAATCAATCTCTCATTTCTGACTATAGAACATGTAAACAAGAGGACTAAGTATTTAGTGACCACGTAGACATTTTCTTAGACACATTAGCTGTTCGAGGCTAATGTGATGCTAGTACAACATTGTATGGAGTGCGAAATAACTGGTAATTGATGCATTTCATTGGTTTTACTTAGACACGTGTGGGCTCTATATGTTTAGTAGATTACTAAGTTGTACTGTAGGGACCTAATGTTGCTCTTTAACTGGTAATACTTAGTTTCTTCCTGGCGTGGGAGACACAATAATGAATGACGGCTGACAACGACAGCCCCAGTTCTCTATTAATGTTATTGTACGAGCAGGTCAATCATTCATTACGTTTAGAAAATAATTACATTTGTATCCATCAAATCAATAATAATAATTTAAAAAAAGTTGTATTATTTAAAGTAAAGCATGTGCTCTCAAATACTAAGAGTGCAACCTCAGCAATGTAAAGCACATATGCAGGTGCACATTTTGGTATGTCGACACTTCATACAGTCAGAACTGTGCTCGTCAAAAGTAACTGTGCTGAATATACCTAATGCTAAATATTTCTCAGTGTGAAATACATGCGAGCGCTCACCCACTCTCTTTGTGATGCCCTGAATGAGCTGGGCCACCAGTTCCTGTCCAGAGGCGATTAGGGCTTTTTCCTGGCCCAGGCGCTCCAGGTTGTCCCTCAGTGAACTCTCCATTTGCCCCTGGCCCTCGAACAGTTTCCCCTGTTGGGCCTGCAGAGCACTGTGGCCATCCAACAGCTTGTCCAAGGAGGCGGCAGTCAGTTCCTTCAGCTCCAGCTGGCCCTCCTGTTAGAAAACAGGATTTATTTAAAAAAAAAAAAAAAAAAAAAAAAAAAAATAATCAAACTGGCATCCTATGCACATAAATATGACAAAGCAAAAAATGATGAATGGAAATCTACCTTCAGTTCCGTCATTGCATCTAGTTGGCTAGTAGCCGTGGAGATGAGAGCGTTCACAGTTTGCTCCGCTCTGCGCCGGAAGAGCTGCTGCCGCGTGGCGTAACAAACGGAGCGCGCCCTGTTGCTCACTATGTGATAAGCATTCCATGTGTCCGAGTCCATGTCTGCTGTACACTCTCTTATGGTCTGAAACATCACAATGAGATAGCGCCAGAAATACCCACAGCACATTGTTTTGACTTTAAAATATAAGGATAACTTTATTTCTTACCATTTGCTCCGTGCATGGGTAGGTCTGGCGCCCCTCAGTCTCGGCCTGGCAGTTAAACAGTACGACCCCAAGCTTCGCCAGCTGCTCCTCCGGGAGGCTTTCACAGCTCGCCTTCAGCTGGGCTACCACCTACAATGGAGCGCAGCGCTTTATTACAATGTCAAGGTAAAAAAAACAGTGGAGGTGTACTAAAGTGACAGAGCTGTGAGCACTGCCACCATTGGATGAAGACGTCCAAACGCCTTTACAGCAGTGTTTCTCAAATTTTCTGGACTGCAATTTAATTTTCCATCACAAAACATCTTGTGAGGGCTCTCAGGTTGTCATGTGATTGGGAGTTTTTAGCTAAAATTGTGATAGACTTCAAAACATTAGCTGGATCTTTGGGTGTTTTGGACCGTTTGTCAGTCAAAACGAGCAATTTGAAGACATCATCTCAGGCTTTAGGAAATTGTGATGAGAATTTTCCACTATTTTTGGACTTTTTGATCAAGGAATTCATTGTTAGATTCACCACTGAATAAAAACAAGAACAGGTTAGTTGCATAAGTGACTAAGTGGATTCTCAGCCAAAGACTGAGAACCCTAAATTCCTCATTTACCCTGTAATGACAGCTGTCTAATGGGCTGAGCTCCATCAGCTTTGACTCAGCCAAAAACCTCTCATCTGCAATAGTCATCTCAAACCGGGCATCCTTTGCAAGAAGTGTTGGGACTTCTGCTGCTGGTGGTGCTGCTGGTGGAGGGGCCTCCTTTTCTCTCAGCCACTCAAACAACCCGTTGACTGCAGGACAGGCCAGCGTGCAGATCAGCAGGAAGTACAGGCGGTGGATCAGGAGATGGCCCATGTCTGGAGCATAACACAATAAGAACCCATCATCAATTCATCCCTTACATATTTTAATGGCAGGAGATTTACAACATTAAAACAGCACAAAAGAAAAATCATTCACGTATAGTCCTGGATTCATTTGTAGCTCGGTTCAGATGTCTTTTATAATGTCCAATTTCCCCCCCATTTTCTTAAAGGTGAGCTACTTCTCAAGATATCCGTCAGTTTTTTGATTACGAAAATGTATTCAATAAGTAGTGCATCTGTTCATGGGCTACGGGAGCCATTTCACCCAATTCCTCATATTAGCTTTTTAACTATTAATATTAAGTTAAAATATTGCATGCTTCTTATTACACTCTCTTGAGATAAATTAGAGATTAAGTGCCTGCCAAACAACTCAGCGGAACTTTTTAATATTTGTTGAATTTTGTTCTTGAATTTGTTCTAGTTATCTCTTTAGGCTATGTACGATGGATTTCTCAATAAGGTTATTTACTAACTTTTCAGAAGTCTCTACAACATAAAACACCCTTCATGAAGTAGGGCGTTTCCTACTGATAAAGGCAGGGCATGGCAAGGCAGGCCGGTGCAGAGGACTCGGAGCTGGAGTGATGTGAGCCACTATCTTGGAGGCTATAATTGATATCTTCTGGGTCCAGGCTACAAGGCTAATGACACCAATGACTCTCTCCAGGAAAAGACGGGGCCCTGTATGCAGCTAGCCTTCTCAATTCCTGTCCTGATAATTTATAGAAAAAGAAAGGTGAGGCTGCGAAGAAACAATAGTAAACCTGCAAACTTAACATACATTCCTCGGCAGCCTGTCCAAATAAATTGGGCAAAGAAAGCTTTAACCACATTAAACTTAGCTTTATTAAATGTCAGGTCTCTGTCAGGAAAAACATTTTTAATCAATGATTTTATTGTTAGGCACAAACTGGACATTTTGTTTTTAACTGAAACATGGTTAAATCAAGATAACAGTGCAGCTGTTCTTATTGAATCAACACCTCACAACTTCAGTTTCATGAGTGAAACAAGAGCGCATAAGAAAGGAGGTGGAGTTGCTATTTTATTTAATGATTCTCTTCAATGCAAGCAGATGTCCTTTGGTCATTTTAGTTCTTTTGAATACGAGGCTCTGAATTCCACTCAAGCTTTATTCCTAAACATTTACAGACCGCCTAAATACTGTGCAACCTTCTTTGATGAGTTTACTGAACTGCTGTCTATAATCTGAATTGATTTTGACTTTGTTGTAAGCGATTTTAACATCCATGTTGATAATCCCCAGGACAGAGGGTCTATAGAACTATGTGGTGTCCTTGATAACTATGATCTGACTCAGCATGTGACAGGATCCACACTCAACAGGGGGCACACTCTGGACCTAATCATCACCAAAGGTGTAAACATTTCCAAGGTCGCTGTGACTGATGTTGCACTCTCTGATCATTTCTGTGTTTTCTTTGAGAGTGCAATCTCCTTGCACACAAATGTCCAAACCGAGGTTGTGACGAAGCATTACATCTCTGAAAACACCAGTGAACTATCTATTCAGAAGTTCTCCTCCACACCAGCCCTCTCTTGCATCTCAGTCAATGAGCTTGTAGATGGCTTCAATTCTAAAGTTAAAAATATTATTGATGCCATTGCACTCACTAAAGTGAAGGTTGTCTCAGTTAAGCAAAGAGCTCCTTGGAGAAATGCTACGCTGGTCAAAATAGAGAAATGAGAGTGTCGGAAAGCTGAGCGCAGGTGGCGAAAAACTAATCTCCAGTTTCACTGTGACATCTATAAAGAGAGACTTCGCAATTATAATTTGGAACTTAGAAATGCAAGGCAGTCCTTCTTCTCTGACATCATAACCAAAAACAATAACAACACACGCGCCTTATTTGCTACCGTCGACAGGCTAACAAAACCCTCCAGTGTCGGTAGCTGCTGAGCTCCAATCCACCTGGGCATGCAATCAATTTGCCTCCTTTTTTACTGAGAAAATTCAGACAAGCAGTCAGTACCTCCACACCAACCACAGGATATGTGTTGTCCCCTTCTCTGAATAACATCCATTCAAATATCATGACACAATTTCATTCAATCGACCGTAGAAGCCTAGAAGACATTATACAACATCTGAAGTCATCCTCCTGCTGCTTGGATATTCTACGAACACACGTTTTCAAAAATATTTCAAACTGCATGACCACTGATCTTTTACAAATTGTAAACACATCCCTTCTCTCAGATGTCTTCCCACAAGCCCTAATAACTGCAGTTATTAAACCGCTCCTAAAGAAGGCTAGTTTAGACTCCGCAACAATGAAAAATTATAGGCCAATATCAAACCTCCCATTTTTAAATAAAATAATTGAAAAAGCGGTTTTCCAACAGCTGAACAACTTCTTGGCCGTAAATAACTGCTTTGATGTCATCCAGTCAGGCTTTCGACAGCACCACAGTACTGAAACTGCTCTTGTTAAGGTTTTCAACGACATCCACTTTAACACAGACAATGGCAGAATTTCAGTCTTAGTATTACTAGATCTCAGTGCTGCATTCGACACGGTCGACCATGACATACTACTCGAAAGACTAAAAATCTGGGTGGGACTCTCTGGCACAACACTTAACTGAAGGACCGAGAATACTTTGTGTCTGTAGCTAATTACACATCAGAGCTGACTACAATGACGTGGTGTTCTCCAAGGTTCAATACTGGGGCCTCTTCTGTTCAACATCTACATGCTTCCACTAGCTCAGATTATGGAAAACAACAGTGTGTTATTATGCAGACGACACACAAATCTACATAACTATGTCACCAGGGGACTATAATCCCATAAGAGGGCTGGGTAACTGCATTGAACAAATCAACAACTGGATGTGCCAGAATTTTCTTTAATTCAACAAAGATAAAACAGAAGTAATTGTTTTTGGTATCAAGGATGAACGATTGAAAATCACCGCTCGGCTTCAATCACTGATGTTAAAACCCACAAACCAAGCCAGAAATCTAGGTGTAGTTATGGATTCAGACCTCAACCTGAACAGCCAAATCAAGACAATTACAAAATCAGCCTACCTGAAGAATATATCAAGGATTAGAGGACTTATGTCTCAACAGGATTTGGAAAAACTTGTCCATGCATTCATCTTCAGCAGACTGGACTACTGTAACGGTGTGTTTACAGGTCTCTGTAAAAAGTCTGTCAGAAAGCTGCAGCTCGAGTCCTCACTAAGACCAGGAGGGTGGATCACATCACTCCAGTTCTGAGGTCTTTGCACTGGCTTCCTGTCAAACAAAGAATTGACTTTAAAATCCTGCTGTTGGTTTATAAAGCACTGAATGGTTTAGGGCCAAAATACATCTCTGATCTGCTGCTACCTTATGAACCATCCCGACCCCTTAGGTCGTCTGGGACCGGTCTACTTTCTCTTCCCAGAGTCAGAACTAAACACGGAGAAGCAGCGTTCAGTTTTTCTGCTCCACATATCTGGAACAAAGTCCCAGAAAGCTGCAGGTCTGCTGAGACCCTCAGCTCCTTTAAAATCAAGATTGAAGACTTTTCTGTTTGCTACTGCTTTTAATTGAACCAGATTCAATTAATATATTAATCAATTTCCTGCATTTCACTACTGCATTTTATTTCTTACACTGTTTTTTAATGTTTTAATTACTGTTTTTATTGTTTCAATGAATGTTCTTAAATCTCCTTTTTCTTTTGCCTTATGTTTTGATGCTTTTAATGGTTTTATGTGAAGCACTTTGAATTACCTTGTTGTTGAAATGTGCTCTACAAATAAACTTGCCTTGCCTTTCATCGTGCAAGTGCCTGATTTACTTGTATCACTATCTGACATCTAATTAAGATAACTTTATTAAATTCTGACTTAACTTCTGGGAGAGGTTGTAATGTCTTTAAAATGTCCATATTTTAAGAAGATCGCCAGATGGCGGCGACAACAACAGGGACAATATGTTTGACAATGTATATGCAGCATTGCTATTATATACGTTAAATGGATGCACGGGGTATTCTGAGCCCATGCACAGTGAGCATAACTGTATGCATGCTGCCAATAATCAAGACTTTCATTCATACGTCTGAATGAAGACCACACCGAGGCTTTGCCCGGGCATGTCTGCTCTGCTGCACTGGCGCTCCAATACCACCTGCTGTGTGGATCACTACAACATCATTTACGCATGAAGAAAATACAAAGTTACATTACTAAAGATGAACAGACGCCACGATTAGGGGGGGGAAACGAAATTTTAAATCAACATTTCCGTCTGTTTTAAGCACCGGGAGCCCATCACGATGCCTTCTTCTGATTAAGGTAGCTAAAAACTATGATACACTATATGCGAGTAAAATAATTATAAATGAACTACCTTGCTTTTCTATGCACGCTGGATTAAATGCACATTTTAAACATTGCTAAATCATGTACCTGTTCTTAAATTGTGCAGGTCCTTGTGGCTGCTGGCTCCCTCTCACAGCTGTTCAAAATTACATCTGATTGTTTTGTGGTCCAACACTTCACCGCCCCATGGATGTATAAAGACACAGCCAATGGGATTAGTCGCATTGTTTTGGGGTGGGCGGACATGGGGTGTGTTAGATTTATACCACGGCTGAAACGGAGTGTTCGTGTGCGGAATCATGTGTGTGTGTGTTGTTAGGTTGAAAACGTATAAAGAACCGCCCACCTGGTGCAGCAGCACAGGTGCTTAAAACGAACCCACCGATAGTTCACTTTATACAACTGGTTGGTTTGCTGGATGCTCCGGCCGGTGAGACAGTCAAATTAAACTACAATTTGGTTTTTGCTAAACGTTGGACGTCAGCCATTCTGAAAACACCTCAGGTGAATAAATACCCTACCGACAATGTTAGCCGGTGTTATTCACAACATCGCCTGACATCGTGTGTATGTCACTCCGTGATATTTTATGGTTGTCCAGTCAACAAGTAACACGTGCATTGTATTTCTGATCTAATCTGTGCTGGATTATTGTGTTGCTAGCAAGATGCAGCATCAGGGCTGGTTTTCTGCTATCGTGGTTTTTTTAAACACAGGATTTTAACATTTTATCGACTCGCTTTTTACGCTAAATACTGCTGACATTTATGCTAGCAGCAGCACCGCTCTGCCCCTGTCTCATCACGACATGCTAGCACCTCATTAGCATCCCCGCTGTGTGGATATTTCACTACCGTTGGGCTAACGTTTGCTAGCCGTCGAGCTAGCCGGGGCTACATTGCCACAACAATGGACGACTCTGGCATCAAGAAGCAGAACTGGGACGTGAAGGAGACGGAGTTATTCCTGGAGATCCTCAAGGAGCTGGACATGAAGAAATGCTTGGACGGAAGGAAAGTGAGGAATAACAAGCTGTTCAAGGTGGCACACCGGAGAATGACAGCGGCCGGTTACCACAGATCCGTGGACCAATTGAAGTTTCGCTGGAAACTTCTCAAAAGTGCGTATTACAAGTGTAAAAGAGAGCCCGACTCTCCGGCACCGACCAAAATACAGGGCTGGTGGCGTTATGAAAAGACGATGATAGCCATCATGGAGTCCAGACACCCCTTGGTCGGAGCCGGAGTTAACTCTGACAGGAACGATGAAGTGACGGAGGACTCGGACGGAGACGCGTCGATGCTGCACTGGCCGCAGCCCTGCCCGGACAATTCCACCCAGAACCTGGGTTTAATTGTAGGGGTGATGCCGTGGATGCGACGTCGTCTTGTCATTAGATCATAACCGTGATTTCATTTCTTCCATGTGTTGTCTAGAGATGCATGCATTCATTACCCAACCGTGAACATGTCTCTGGGTTGTTCTGATACACAGTCATATACTCGGTACGCCTATTTTAAAACTAACGCAGTCAAATAGAGTCCTGCATGCAATCCTACATGGTTATACAGTATTAGCCAGGTGTGGATTCAACTTTATGGTCATTATGTGTCTGTTAGGGGATGTTGATTATATTTTGCTATAGTGAGAGATGTTACTAATAGTCTGTCCACTCTATTTATATCAATAAGGGTAGAATAAATGTTCTATAACACAGTATGATGCAAAAAGAGTGTTTAATTCATTATTTAAACAGGTGATCTAATGAAAACAAATGCATATAATTTCACATAGTTTAGATATATAATTTACATTGGTTCTATATTAAAGTAAACATTCACAGGTGCCACTCAAAATGCTTGAATAGAAGAATAGATTAGAGAAGATAGAATTAAATTCCTACAACCTCCAAAATGACTATAAATTTAACAACCATGTTAACAAAAACTGAACATTATACATGCATGTCTATTGTATTTAACTGCATTAGTTTTATCTTGGACCGAATACACGGACAACTTTGCGTAGTCGGTCTCAAAAAGGAATGTGAAAAATAACTGCCTCAGCAACATATAGGCAGACTACTCTGGGATGTATGTTTCTGGCACCGTACGTGGACGGACATTCTCTTGAAGAATCTCTTTAGGTGTGTGTGGAATTTCCTCCGCTGTCATTTTGCTGCTTGATGGTTTTCTTAGAAGTGGAAAATGGTGAGAGATGCTGAGAAAAATAGCAACTCTTCACATTTGATGAGTGAGCACACATGCTTGGGATAACACCGTAACAAATGATCGGCTATCAAAGTAGTTCTTGATACATATTTTCTGTTAACATGATCCGTTCTCTGCATACTGTAGATGCGTTTGAAATAATGTGAGTACTTCCGGCTTTTAGCAGCAACATGCTTTCTGAAATCATCAGCTTACAAAATCAAGAGACAAATCAGATTTACAAGCAAACTTGCCGCCTTCTCTGCTGCAGTAACCGGCTTTCTCGTCCCTGTAAAATCTGATCTGGATTAAAGATGCAGTTGCATGACAAAAAGACCCAGGACATGTTATGGGGGGTTGGGGGGAAAATGTAATTACTGACCAAATGTCAACCAGGATTTAAGTTACCTGATTTCTCCTCACGCCTTCAGATGGGACACAAGAGTCACAAAAGGTTATACGGCACACTGTTACTGTTAACAAGCTAGACTGTGCACGCTGTTAACAGTGTGTCTCAGTGGTCTGTCAAATTCTCCCTTATTAAACATGTCAATACATTTAATAAACATATAACTGATTTTAAAGAAAATATACCCGTTTAAGGCATTGCTTTTAGTTAATAAGATATTTTTATCATATATGATGGATTTACTTTATCGCTGCACATTTTGGTGATGTATTCAAAATGCTTTTTTGATTTGACAAACAGTCCAAAACCCAAAGATGTCCGTCGATTAACTGACTAATATTTGCATATTTAATTTTCTTAGTGTGTGTGTGTGTGTGTGTGTGTGTGTGTGTGTGTGTGTGTGTGTG